AGGCAGCCAGGTCAGTTCATGGATAAAGAGTACTAAAACACGAAGCATAGGTTCAATTTCTGTGTGCAGTTTAATTTGTCCTGCATGTGCCCTGTAGCATCAGTTATTATGCTGAAGTCTGTGTGGTCACATATGAGTTCAGCTTATTTACAAGCTAGATAGTGTACTTGACTTGAAGTAAGAATAAGTAAGATTGGACTATTTGGTATTTACAGTACTCTATGGTTATATACCATTTCATAATAATGGCATCATTCGGGTTATTTTGTCAGACTTTTAAAAGCTTCTCCACAATCACAGAAGACTTTAGGGTCAGGTTATGTTGGATCAAAACTAGAAACAAAGGGTTGGCTGGTGGACCGTCATAGAGAGGGGAGAGATATTGTTTAAATATGGTGATAACGGAGCACGCTTGAAGAAAGCGTCTCCTGGAAAATTTCAGACACTCATTGGAACGAGTAAACGGATCATCATGTGTAAAATTGGTGTAGTGAAGCTTTAATCCACAGATATTTCTGTGTTTATGGATTTGATTATTTAATAATATGTGATGTATCATATCTTACCTCAAAAACACTAAATTTTAATTAATTTGATTATATTTTATGATATTAATCTGAATCTGCAAAGTAAGTAGTAACTAAAGTTATCAAATAAATGTGGATTCAAAAGTTAAAAAGTTTCCCTCTGAAATGTAGGAGTAGAAGTATAAAGCAGCAGAAAATGGAAATACTCAAGTAAAGTAACTCAAAATATTACAGAAAAGTACAGTACTTAGTAAATATATTGTACTTACTTACTTTCCACATCTGCTTTTTGCTCAGTCAATACATGGACCATTTTGTGGATGTTTCTTAATTTATGCATTGCTATGTTGATTTATGAAGTTGGCTACAATGATTTTAACCTCAATGTCCTGAACTTGTTCAATGTACAGAAAATGCCCTTACAGTGCTAAGGACACAGACGTCTTTTGTCAAAATTAAATTCAGCCATATGCTGCTTGGAGACATGAAAATTGAATATCACTTCATAATAAAAGTCCCCATCCCTGAGATAAAAATCAGTGTGTGAATAATGGATGTGTGATGGGAATTGGATGACAGGCTGTGTCGTCCTGTCTCACTGTGATCTCTGCTCCACATCTCGCTGCTCATTAAAAACTATCTACTGTCACTGCTGTAAACCAGCAGAGGTAGAGATGGATGGAGGGCAAAATAGGAAGGAGAATGGAAGGAGGGTGGGGTGAGGAAGGAGAGATGGGGTGGTGCAGAAATGAAAGAATGAAGGATGGATGAAGAGGGACAAAAACTGTAATTTTCACAAAGAGAGGAAATGCGACAGTATATCGAAATATACTGTGATAAAATGAACTGGTCTGTAAATTGAGATTATTGATCCTTTCAGGACTTGGCCTTCAGTTAAATAAAGTGCTTTTTATAAAGGACATTTTTTACAGTGTAAGTGATTGTAATAAGGCAAGAGGAAAAAAGAGGGGTGTTATCACAGAGGGAGAGGAAGAGAGAGAGTGAGGTGAGATATTTTTACAATCTCCTTAGGGTACTTTCTTCTTTTATCTTCGCTCCTCAATCTGTTGTTCTGCTTTCCCCCCCTTGGTTCTTTGTTTTAGCATTTCTCTATACGCAAACAAACTCTACAACCCCAGCGGGGCTGAATCACAGGGAGCGATGAAGATAGGAGGAAGTATCAAAGAAATACAGAGAGAAAAACAAAAAGAGAAAGCAGGAGAGAGGGAAAAAAGAGAAGGACCTGTGGATAAGTTTTTACTTTCCATCGCAGTAGAATGGGAGAGATTCAACCATTTAAGGGCTCAAGGTCCAACCACATCTCAATCACCCAGGCTCATATTTTTCCCTCCCTCCCCGTTGTTTTCATTCCTTCTCTGTCACCTCTGGCCGAGGTGAGAAACCTTCCCCTGAGAGAAATAAAGTGAGAAACGGAGGGATTACGGAAAGCCTCTCAGAGTGGCTCAACAGACCAAAGCCGAAAGCATATACTCTCAGCTGTGAGATTCTGAATCTGGTTCATGACCTTTATCAACCAGAGCTCCATGGCCATTTGGTTTGATTGGTTTGGTCCAAAGTTTTCTGGGGGATAACATTTGGACAGTTATAATGTACTACAAAATTTGAAATTAATCAAAGTACTAAAAGACAACTGACAGTGAACCTGGGAGGTTCAGGTCTTTTTGGAGGTTTCCAGGACCAAGTCCGGTGGAGTCAGCTAATAGGACCGCTAACTGGGCTAACTAGCTAATGGCAAAGCCTACAGTCAGCAGCAGTGCTATAGATATATAATAAGATCCACATGGCACTGACAAGCATTGTGCTGGTAAGTGACTTCTTACTTTCGTCCCGGTCCTAATGACAAGATAAAGCTCCCGAATGGAGCTTGAGGTTGTTGTTTTTACGACTAACTGACCAATAAAAACTTGGTTGACTAAAAGCCGTTACATCGACTAACAGTTTAGTACTATTAGGTGGCAGCACTACTTATGATAATTGTAATATGTTCTGGTGCAGAGCTTGAGGTTATTCTTCAGTATTTTGTATTCACAATAGTTTTTAAGGCATAATGCAAATTAAACAATGAACAGAGTTTGATTTGAAGAACACAACAATAATAAAAGTGATAGATGCATATATAATACAAGTTTATTTTTTTAATGCATGTAGCCCTACAACGGATGATGATGACTGGATGTACTGCTGGTCGTATTTTGTAATTTCACTGAATGTGCACATTTTGTGAACCTATTTATGACCTTGTGTGGCGGGTTTTACCCATGCGGCAACCTCTGGTGCTGAAAAATGAAGCCTACGCAGAAGCGTCAAAAACTGCAGTTCCTCAAATGGTCACTTAAGGCTGGCTCCAAAATTGAGTCAATTCCCATAAACCTCCACGTTAAATTTTATTTAAATCTATCTTATTCATGTGTGTGTCTGTGTTCGACTTGACTTGGATCCACTTGGGGACAATAAAGCTAAGCTGCTTGAAGGTATAGTGAAGGTGTATAGTTTCAGTATGCAGTAGTGATCAGTGGTAAAATAAGGTACTTGATCTTAGCAACTGCAAAGTTTGCTTGTTTTCACCTTTTTTCCCCCTTTTTTCATCAGACAGCTGAAATGCAAAAACTCCTAGCTAGCCCCCCCACAAAAAACTTCAGAGGATGCTCTGGGACTCCATTTCACATCCAACTTTCTCTATTTGCCAAACATCACACAGCATTTTTACAGTGAGAGCTCAGATAGCCAAAGAGAATGCATGAAGACAGTTTTAATTTATTGCGGTGAAAGTTTTCAGCATGAATAAAACATCTCTCCTGACTTCAAAGTAAAAAAATAAAGCAAAATAATAAACTGACATTGCGCGTTTCAAGATCCTTCTTATTGACACAAAGTGTGGCACAGTTGAAGAAACAGATTAATTTACTGTATGTGTTGTTTCAAGTGACAGTTGATCTCATTAAAGGAAATCAAGGTTTACTTTTCCAACGTTCACTTTTGAAACAGCTTATAGTACTAACTTTATTTTTTTTTATCTTACTCTTCAACAAAGCTCTTGTACAAATGAATGCACAGTAATATTTGACACATATTAAATGGATTTAATGGATTTTCACTTTAGGTATTTGTTCATCTTCAGAGATGTACATGAAGGGAAGGGAAAGCCAAAGCCAGAGTCAAAGACACTAAGTCCAAAGAAATATCTACCTGATCCAATGACCTCCTCTATTTTGACACAGGAGGGGTCGATTTCCTTGGCAAACTCCCGGACAGCCTCGTTGGGGTCCTCATAGGTGAAAGGGTCAATGTAGATCTTGACCCCTGGTGAACTGTGACCTTCGGACAGGCTGGGAAAGGTCACAGTGGGGGCGGGACCACTGAACATGTCAGGCCTCAGAGTCACCTCTGAGGAAAGAATTAGAAAGTACAAATATAAACACGGTTTTGGCGGTTTGGTGTGTGTGAGCATATATGAAGGTAGAGCTTATTTAAAGTTTCAATATTGGTCATACCTCCTCCTGTGTTGTACTGCTGCAGCTTATCACCGTAAACACTCTCCTTCAACTGCCTTCTTCTATAGACAGAAACAAAAACAGAGAGTTTTTGGGGAACGAGGCAAGCAGACAGAAATGTTACACAAAAGTTAGAAATGCTAATTGGCTGTCTTCTCTTCAGCTGAGTTGTGTTAAAATAAATAGTTTTCATTAATGTCAGAAAAAAGTCTGCTTGAGAGAAGGAAAAAGTATTTTTATCAGTAAGGCAACATGTTACTGTTCTGTGTTGTCAGCTTTTATTTCCTCTTCTTTGTAATATTTTAATACGTCAACTGATCTTCACAATAGACACCTTATACCACATATAGAGAGAGGGAGCTTGTTATTTCTGGAAGGTTATGAGGTCACAGAAACGTCAGGCATTTAAGAAAGTCTTTCAAAGAGTTGTGGAACTATAATAAATTGCCACATCAAGAAAGCTTTAAAATACTTTCTCGTACAGAGGCCATTTTATCTGCATTATTATTATTATAAAATGTTTAGTGTAATGTATTACATCTTATTAAATGTGTATGCATAATTATGCAGCTGCATATGGTTACACAAAAAAAAATACCTAGTAATTTATACCTGACAAGTTAATTACTCTTGGGTTTTCCCAACTTTCTCCAAAAAATACCCAGATTGTCTAAACTAGCAAATCTGTTTAAACTGATTCTCATATGGATTTTATGTTCCAATGCACATTGTGCACTGCCACTTAAAGTAAACATTGTCCTCTTGTTGTAAGCAAAGTTTTATGTAAAAAAAAACATGTTAATAAAACAAAAAACAATAAATGGGTAATGTGAAAGTTTATTGTTGACCTTGGAAACATTATTTTTGACAAGGTTCTACCTTTCAACAGGATCTCACAGTGTTCCTCGGCAGATATGCAGTAGTTGTCATGGAAATGGCTCAATGATCATTACATGACCAAAGTATCGAGCTTCAAATGATAACAGATAGTTGTAATAGGGAGGTAGGAATTGTAAATCTTTTATAAGGTGACTCAAGTACTAGACTGTGAGATGTGGACAAAAGCTCTGAAAATGTTTGTCACAATAGGCCTTTTTCAATGGCATCTTGACATTTCACTGCAGGAAAAGCACAGGTGTCAATTAATGATGGAAGACTTCCATTTAGCTGCTTCTGTTTCAAAGTCCTTGTATTGTGCATGCTGGCTCACTGTCATGCTGTCATGGCTTACTGGGACACTTGAAAAGAACAGAGCCATTGTTAATTTTATTAGTAACACCTGTGCTTTTCCTGCTATGACAAGTCAAAGTGTCTGCTGTGAAAAAGGACAAAAAATGGTTTGGGATGCTGAGAATATATGATAAGTAATGATATGTAAGATAATATGATATTCACCCCTATTGTTTATCATTGACTTAGTATCTGATTTTCAAACATTTTAAAATATGTATATAGACACATTACCAGATAAAAAAAGGAAATTTAATAAGCATTGAATCCTATAAAGTCAGAACATGTTCAATGCCGGGCTTAAGGACATTTTGAACGGACAATTCAAAGTATTGTATGTAATGTATGTAACAGGGTATTTACCCCTATCAGTTAGGATATTCCCATGACCCACATATTATGCAGCACGTGTGGGTGGATGTGTATAAGATGTGGTGTGTGTATGTATGTGCCTGTGTGTTACCTGGTACAGATGATGGCGATAGCTACCAGTGAGACGATACACACTCCACCTACCAAAGAGCCTGCAATCAAGGAGAGCTGCTGTCCTAGCTCTGACTTATACTCATCTGCAGAGACACACACACAAACACACAATCAGGCACAAACAGTGAAAAGAGATGGGGTTTTTTTAAACTCTCACACATACACACAGTTGAGCATTGCTGGAAGGGAAAATATACACTTGACAGTTTCTCTCTCTCTAACACACATAAAATATAATTTACATGGCTCATTTTACATAACTGCAAGCACACACAAATTCATGCACATACACACACGCACACACACAAACAAAGTAGGGCAGAATTTAATTACTTCACAGCCAGATTTTCACTCTTGCTCAATCTCTCAAATTTCCCCTCTCAGTCCTGCACTCTCTTTCCTCTCCACCACCGTAAAACCTCCACAGACACACACACCTCCACACACTCATACCAACCACCCACACGCTTACCGTCGGTGAGTGTTTGGAAGAGCATCTCCTTGCTGTAGGCTCCGTAGCCGGCCACAGTGCGGGCCCTCACCTGAACCACATAGCCGGTCCCCGGCCTCAGACCCTCCAGGACAACACTGGGTGTTTCGCTCTGGATCTCTGAACTGTTCAGCACTGATGACTGGGACTGAAGAAGAGATTGAGAGAGATGAATATGTTTTACGGCAATCCAAAACAGACTATAATACTTCTTCAGTCACAGACTAAGAGACAAGAGACTAAATTTAGTACTTTGTTTTGGCCTTCAGCTAAGATAAGATTAATTCATCCAGTTCCAGCTCAAACTGAGGCATTCACCATTTTCAACCTGTGACACAATAGACACCCAGGCAGGATGGTATAACTGCAACATTTTGAGTTTGAAGTAATATGGGAATGTTGTCACACCGTGCCAATCTCTATCACATTTTTTGTCTTTCTCCATTTTTTCCCCAACAGTAAAAAAGAACAGTTAAAATATCCTCTACTGTTTCTGTTCTCCATACACTTGAATTATCCATCTGCCTGTCTGTTTCTATCGATTTATTCACACCTTACAGGTTCAATTTACCAAAATTACTAAAGAGGTACATTGTATAGACATGGAAATGCCTTTCGTTTTATTTGTCTATATTGAGATATAGGCCTCAAACCTAATTCAATGGAGAGAAATGGAATTTGTTCGCATTAATCAAAGCACAGACAATTTTCCAGAAATACTGTTTATCGACAGACCCCACAATAACCAGCCAATAACAAGTACTTTTGGAACTACTTCTACTGAAGGAAAGTTACTACTATTCCACTATTGTCCTGAGTGACCTGGTCATGTTGCTGGGGATTTTTTTCCAAATTATATTTTTCAGTGTTTCTAGCAGCATCTGCAAAAACTGATTTACATACATTTTATTGGGGTAGAAGTTTCAAAAAGGCCATTGTTTCTAAAAACACAAGTTGCCATTAATTATAAATGCAATTCCAGTGTTGTTCTACAGCACACACGGAATTCCAATTACTCCCATTTTACTAGGGTAGTGACAGAGCGAAGGCAAAAGGGTATAATTCAAAGCCTCCCAAAACTATTTGAAATGCAAGACACCACTAGGATTGAAAAAAATTGTTATTCTGTAATTTGAGTGAACTGAACCTTTAAGAGTCCCTCTGCGTTGGAGAACCTCGCAAAACTTGTCTGTTTACATTCTGTCATCATCTTTATTGCTTTTTTTCCTGAAGCCCCTTTTTCACCTCACACTTATCTCCTCCACCTTAAATCTCCTTCTGTCCCACTCTGCTCTCTCCTCCCATCTACCTCCCAGTCATCACACATTTTGTCCACAACTACCCTCTTCATATTTAAAAGAAAATATATCTCTTCAGTATCTTCCTCTTTGACTTATTGCTCCTTTTCCCACCTCTTTGACCTGTTCTTTACTCCATCTCCCTAAAATATAACAAAGCAATAATGTCGTTAATTAGCTACTGGCCACAGAGACAGATCTAACAGAGCCTTTGGTCTTCTTTCTGCCTAGTCCTCCTGAGGTGAATTAGGCATCACACCTATCAGGCTTATCTCATAAACCCAAGGCTACAACCTTTTACCTCTATCTTTCTATGCCTTCCTTCTATGCTTCCCCTCACCATTTCTTTCAGATAAAGAAAAGGTTTTACTGCGGCAAAATCAAAACGGTCCACAGGGAATGGCAGATATGGTGTGGTGATGGCATAAAAGGAGGGGAGGGAACCGTGCTGTGAGGATGAAGGAGGTAGAGGGGTCGACGGCAGAGAGGAGAGGAGAGGGAGAGAGATGATGATGGTGATCAGGAGGGAGTTCAGGAGGGAACGAAGTGAGGGTTGGTGGTGGGAAGAGAGAGGAAGAGGGAGGGTTATCAAAAGAGGACACTTGAATAAAAAGGGGGTTAGGATGATTGAGGGTTTTTTTGTTGCTGCTTGTGGCCATCTTTATTGTTACTATTATGATATGACATGTCTTGTGTCATTTATTAGCATTAATCCTGTGTACCTATAGTACCATGATTTGCTGTATTTAATAGAGCTCTCATTTATTTTAGTGCACTGTTAATATACTGTACTGTGACCCGCCAAAGTCCTACTGTCATAATGAGGACAACCACAGAGTTTGCTGGGTGATAAAAGCTTAGAGAGAATAAGATAGAGAGTTATATTTGGAAGTAGCCACAGAAATGGGGGTACTGTGACAGGGTGGGGTTTGGATTTGGAGAGGCGTGTGTGTGTGTGTGTGTGTGTGTGTGTGTTATGCTTACCACAGTGAAAAGGTTAGGGGGCAGCCCATCAGGGGAGGTCTGGTAGCCAGAGATAAGTAGTGGGTAAAAAGCCTGCCTCCCTGTGCCATATCAAATTTACTACATTAAAACCTCATTATCTATAGACTGGCTATGACGGGAGGAGGGGGGAGGGATGAAGGAGAAGATGGAAGGAAGATGGGGAAATGACAAAGTACCAAAAAAGGAGGTACAGTGCAGCTGTCTGGTAAGAAAAAACTGCCCACTCTCTCTCCAGGCTTATCAAACTGCTCCCTGAGGACTTTTTCACTTGAAGCTATGAGCTAAAATTAGTCACTTGGTGGTGGTGGTTCGGTTGTCTATAGTGTAAAATACAGAAGAATGAAAAGAAGAAACAATGAAAGGACAAACTGTCAGCTTTCGCTTCTGGGTCTAATTGGCTTCCATGTTAAATAATGTTAAAGCAAAGGCAGCTGCAAATAAGGCCGACTTACAGTAAAGTCCCTGCCCTGACTTTGACAAAGTAAGGGTTTTATCTGTGACTGTCAGACTGCAGCTACAGAACATCTCTCAGCAAGTGCAGTTCTTCTCACTCTGTCCTCAACTCACTCTAATTGCTCTCCGAGAGGCAAAGTCTTGACTTTTTCTTCCTGCTATTCTCTATCTTTCTCTTTTACCAAACAGCAGGAAGTAGGGGTGCTAAGGGTGCTGCCTAAAAGTTTGTCTAATATTTAAATATGTGTTTTTGCCGTTTTTGCTCACTATGTTCCAGTGGGTATGGTTTAGTATTCCAGTCAACCCTCACACATAACAACAACAAAGCTTATTATTTATCCAATACCTTCCAAAATGACCAATATGGCTGTTTTAAATGAGCATTTTCTGATATGCTACCTCTGTAGTTATGGTCAAAAGAAACAATGTTGACTGTTGATAAGAGACCAGATGTAAGCCATGGTCTGTGGTGACAAAGTTAGACACTTCTTACAGCCAACCTTCCACCTGAACTTCTTCTGTAGAGGAAAGTCTCTATTTTTATAACAGGTAATATCTGAACAACAGTGAGGTCTGCACACCAGGATCTGCAAATGTTTCTTCTTGGAACCTTCGGGTAGCACATTCTGATATTGGCATGAATGCATTCACTAACTGAAGAGAAATTACACTTTATGAGCTCTGAAAGATCTCATCAAACTGTATTTCATGAAAGAAGATCAGTAATGAGGATAGTTGCGACTCAGCTTCCATTATACTAGACACTGGATATGCATGCGATGACCAATTTATTGGCATTATAAAAATGTTAGAGTAAGACCGGACAAAGCATATTTTAAAATCTGTAATGTAAAAAGAATTGGACTTTATATAATCTGATAAAAAATATACTTTTGTAGGATGGCAAGATTATACTGTGCATACTAAATGCATGCACCAACTTACATTAATTATTACTTGATATTGTTGAAAATTGATTGCTATTAATCAAAAGCCTCAACATACATAAAGGCAAAATAGTAATAGTTTAATAACTTATAATGATTAATAGTGTCAGTGCTGAATTGAGTTTAGGATTTACATATTAGTACGTAGCACAGTGAATTAAGAGAAGCAATAACAACCATAATAAAAACGACACACACATACACACTCTTTTCTTTCCCTTATGCAGCACAGGAAAATTATAGCCATATACCATGTTGTGCCGGGAAATTGGAATCTGTGAGTGAGCCCTCTGGAGTCATGGACTTTATAACTGTGGCTGTTTTCATCAAAGCGAATAGATAAGAAAGAGAGTTGACATGAGTCTTGAGCATTTAAAGTTTGTAGTTCTGTTTTATCTCAGAGTTTAAGTGAGTTACGGAAGCACAGAGTCACTGACAGTATGTATTAAAAAGAACAGAAACTTGCAGTGGTATCCAAAAAAACAATTTTCTTCAGTTTTGTAAAAACTGGAAGATGGCAGGGAATCAAATGTGGGCTGTGAATGAGGAGGCATGTTGTTCTATTTGGTGTATCTCACACAATCCCTTGTAGGTGCTTTGCTCTTTGTTGTTAATCTGCAGTGAAAGTCTATCTGTTTTTGGAGCTGTTGGCTCAGCTTCAGAAAAGATGAGGATATTTTTATGTTTAGCTTTGGGTGATAGATATGCTTTTAATTTAACTTTCAGTTTCCAATTGCATTGCTTTCCACTGACTGAATTACAAAGAAGAGAAGATATAGCCACAGTTTGTCCTTTGTTTGGAGTCTTTTCTTCCCTAGAGGAGCGGTCTTTGATTGGAAAGCAATCAGCTACGCACTGAAATTTTCAATCCTGAATCAGAGGCTCTCATTCGTGCCCTGGGTTGGACATTCATTACAGTATGCCGGCTACTTTGTTCATTGGAGAGTTTTGTGCCTTAGTCTCGTACAGATTAGGACCTTCTTTTTTCATCACGCTATATTCTCGTTTGCAAAATACTAAAAACAAGTGAAACAGCACTTTCACAAGGGTCGAGAATATTGTTTCTGCTGAGGTCTGGATCCAGGAGGGTGTTCTCATCTCCCTGTTCCAGGCAAGGTATGTTGCTGTTTCATTTAGAGTCTGTGAATTCAGGGTCATGCAGGGATGTGCAAGGAAGAAAGTGGATTCTCTGAAGGGGCAGCATCAATGTGGGCGTTGTTCTGAATTGTTGTGGTGAAGAGAGGATCTCAGCCTGAAGATGAAACTTTGACCTTACCAGTACAGCTACCTTCCTGCCATCAACTATGGTCACAAGCTTTGGGTAGTGACCAAAAGAATGAGATAAGGGGCCGAAATGAGTTTCCTTGTTGAATTTCTTTACTGGCTGGGCTCACCCTTAGAGATAGGGTAAGGCGCTCAGACATCTATAGGGAGCTCGGGTAGAA